GATGCCAGAAAGTTTCCCTGATGGAAGGAGGCATCTACAAACCTGTTTAATGTCATGTAGAATTTTTGGCGCGAATGAAAACATTTAGGGATTTGAGATCCAAGATGGGGCATATTTTCATTTGAGAGATGTAAAATGATTGGAGTAAAAAGATTCTGCTTTCGAATGTCAACAAAGGGGCGGAATGAGTCATGCAACATCACGATTCGCTTGGCCCCTTTGTTGACATTCGAGTCAGAGCTGTAATTTTGCAGCTGTGTTTTTGTCGGGATTGAATGGGTTGGTGTGTGTCGGTATTTTTTCTTTCTGCGAATCAACAGCTACCGTTCATCGTGATTGACGCACATTGTTGGATGTTTAACTTTGGGAAGAAGCCTCAAGAAGGCACCACTGAAAATGGATCTCAGCCTGTAACACCCCAATTTTTTTCACACTATCTGTGACCTACTAGGTGGTATAATAATGGGACCTATGTACTACACCTATCCTGCTTCACTAGTGGAGAGCAGTAGGAACTGGACTGTAGGATTCAGGGGGATTTTTTTCATTCCATTTCTCACTTTTCCTTAGTTAACGGGTTCATTTACTAATGTGAAACCATTACAAAAGCCCATTAAATGACCCATCTGTTATATCTACAACTCTGTCCCTGCATGCAGCTGTAACTGCATTATTACGCAATGCAGAATTAAAGCAATCAACGTATTTTAATACAATTCAAATGTTTTTAGCCACAAAATTAAAATGGCCTTAGTAGACCCCCCGTGATCCACACAGTATTTGGACACAACCATGCCCTCTTTTCAGTAGCCCCAGTCCTTGGTAAGTTTTAGAGTTGATTGACTTGGTAAGTGTCCAAAATAAGTAGAATGTATGAAGAGAGAAAATGTGGGTCATGCTGGATGACGGAAAATATATAGTCATTTGGGTTACAGCCAAAACAGTTAAATTACTATAGGCTGTACACAATTCTAACTTGGCCATTGGATTTTATTAGTACAGTAGCTTTTCCCAGTGGGGCCTTTCCATCCTAAAACAAAGCAGAGAATTAAGGAGATCACCAGCAATGATGTACAAGACTCTATATTCATCTGTTCAGATATACAGAGATACACATCAAATCCTAGACAGACAGGAAATCCCTAAGTACAAGCAGTGGAGCCTACACTATAAAGTCTTCATTGTGCAGGAAAATGATGGAGTATCATCGATTAAATATTTTCCATGTGAGCTCCAGGCACAAAACATACAGATAGATATACTCTGCTTAGCTATAAATCGTGTGCTTGAAGAGGACAATTCTCAATTTTCCATTTGTAATTTTATAGATCTATACAATTTGTAAAGGTCTTTGTTCTTGATCTTTGTTCCTGGGAGTACAGTTTTACATATGTAAGCACATATGGGTACATGTAATAATAATCTAGTTTAATTTTTTGCTTCTTTAACAGGGCCTGGATGAGTGATAGTACCTGGACGAAGTCTTTTCATGTGGGGGGTGCCCTGCTCTTCACTTGTGGTCCACCAGCACTCTATGTGTGGCTTGCGGTGCCATGGGCTGGGCCAGTCATATGGAGCACTGGCAGATCTTCAAGCATTGAGCATTGTCTGTCTCTGCTAGCTATTAGGTACCAATAACCAACTTATATCTCTCCCCGCCATATCCCTTTGCTCACCAATCACCTCTCCAGATTAAAACTCAGTATTATGCTCTGTACCCTGAAAATTACTAATGCCACAAAAGCCCAACTCAACACAATTTGTTTTCTGAGGGTGAGCAAACTGGTCACTTATTAGCTGGTCTTATGAAATTACCAATTACACAAGTCTGGTAGCACATGATATACATGTACTGATTGGGATCTAATCCATCTACAGTAGGGTTTAGGACAGGGGTAGTTAATTAAAATTCAAGAAGGTCTGGTGAATAAAATTTTCTTCAAGCCGAGGTCTGAATCGCGGTCCGGACAGAACAATCACTCAGTTTGTGCCTGTACCGCAGTTGGCCATTTAGGCTGCATCCACACAAGCAGCTGCTGGTGTGTGTCCCCAGGCACGGTAGTGATGTGCCGATTTGCATCGCACTGTATATTTCTTTTTATATTATTTTGTTAGAAGTCCCTACCCCCCGTTTACATAAACATGCATGCTTTACACAAATGTGTTGGTTAGAATCAGATAGCGGGGTGGCAGTGTTGGTTTAAAATTTTATTTATTTTATAATTTTTTTACTTTTTTATTACAGTTTTGAATGTTAAAAAGACCCTATGTGACAGCATTTGTAAGTGACAGGTCCTTTTTATGGAGATATCAGGTGTCTGTTAGACCACTGCTGTCTCCTCTACCCTCCAATACATACCATCAAGCACAGGGATATGCTTGCTAGTCTGTTTGCCCAGCTGTAAAGCCACCCAGATCACTTGTAGTTGTAGCAGCTGGCCCTGCCTGATGTCATTGCTTGCTGGGATGCCAGAGATCCTAGCAACCAATGACTGAAGCGGGGGCCTGTGCTGGGTTATAGCTAGCAGTGTAAACATCGGCCTTGGAGGCCGGTATATTCACTGTCAGCCAGCCATAAGCCAGCACAGGTTGACGATTGCAGTCCATGCAGAACCACCACTCGGTCTGTGTCCAGACCAGGGTCTGCCATTTAGTGACCCCTGGTTTATGGGTTAACAATTGGAGGAGAGTCCCAGTGTCAACTCTCCCAGTGCTCATGAACACCCACTTTCCTTGAGTGTCTTTCCTTTCCTTGAACCTTACATGACAGAACACATACCATCCCACCCATGTCTATTTAGTAAAGGAGGTTTAGCACCTAAATACTAGGTGGATAAGCTTCTCAATCTACACCATGTTTGAAACCTGAAACTTCAAATCCCAGTTTTGACAAAACACTAATCATCAACCAAGAGCCCACTTTTGCAATTAAGTTGAAACCCCCAGTATATGCAAGGGGCAGGCACTTTTTTTTACACTAATAATACATTACTGTAACATTTTCTCTTGCTGTCACAAGCAAATGAACATGGAGACTATAGCAGGCTTTTCAACACACATTATGCAGCCAGGGTCCACTGTTGTCACGATCAGGAAACCCACCCAGGGAAATGCAATGCAACCATCACTTGGGTACATACATGTAGAAAGCAAGTGAATACAAAGATAATGCGGTGGATCAACAGTGGTGAGATAGGGGTTATACCTACTTTAAAGAGGTCACAGATATAGTATGAGTATCCAGCCTGAACCCTATTACTTGCTAATTAGAATTCCTTTAATCGGGGACAAGAATTCCTTTAATCGGGGACAAGCTCTATTTTGACCTAGGGATCTGGCCAGTTATGCACTTTCTATCTTAGGGTGGCTTCACTCTGTGGAGGAGCAATGGGGCCACCCTTGGACAGCAGCATTGTCAACATGTGGAGAGTGTAGTGTTAGAGGACTAGCAGATTTAGAAGGATTTGACTAACAAATTAGATATGAACTCCAGTTAACACTTTTTAAACAGGTCCAGAAACAGTTTTTATCTTTTCCTTTTGGGATAAAGGTTATATAGATTAATAAAAGTTGACCATTTTAAGCACCCCTCTCAGTATTAAATGGTTTGTCTCAACCCTCTATCTGCCACTTTTGCTGGACAGCTTGGCCTGTTAAAGGAAGTTAAAAAATCATAGACGTATTGGCCAGATCACCAGGTGAAAATAAAAAAAACCCATAAATATTGGTAAACTGCAATATATTACAATTTTCCTTTTGGGTTTAGATACAAAGCTTTTTTTACGGCATGTTAGGAGCATGTAAATACTTGAATGTCTATAGCCTAGCCACAGGTTCACTTTAAAGTGAAACTCTTCTTTGCCCACACTAGACAAATGACAGCTTCACTGTACAGGATGGGCCAGCTTTTTGGTCAGTGGTAATAGCTGGAAAGCATTACAGTCAAGAATTTGAGGCAATCCAGACAATCCAAGTATTTTCTCTTCATATGAGATTTTACTTTGAGAGCCAGGACTCTATTTCTCTATAAAGAAAGAGGCCATAACGGCAATCCTGTAGAAACCATTTTGGCGCTGAGCTGAAGGTACAGGTTATATGTTTTGTAAATATGTTCCCTGCTCCAGCAGGAGTGGTAATTACTTTAGTCTATAGTAGACATGTGCACAACAAAAAAAATTGTTTCCAAACAAAACAAATAAAAACGAAAGACGTTTTTATTCGTTTTGTCAAAGGAAACACATTTTTATGTTGTTTTGGATTCGGAGGCAGCGAGCCTCTGAATCCGAAACTGCACACTAAAACTGCAGAACGAGTGGCGGTCATATCGGTCGCCGGCACATTCTGCCCATGCGCGCATCCATTTTGCACCAAGATGGCGGTGTCCGCATGTTCGAGCACCACCATCTTGGTGTATACCAAAATCCAGTCCAAAATGGCGGTGCGCATCGTCATGTGACGTCACACACTCTGCCTCTGAGATGGCGCGGGCATGCGCAGAACACGCATTTTGGCCACTGGAGTGTTCTGAAAACAATTTTATGTATGCCCGAATATCGTTTTAGTATATTCGGACATATATTAAATTCATTATTTTGGATTCGGACGAACAGCTGAATCAACTGATTTTCGTTGATTTGCAGGTTTGTCCAAATCCGAATGCACATGTCTAGTCTATAGGTGGTCAAGCTATTAATACAACTGGTTAGTTGCACTAGATCAAGAGACCCTATGACTTTTGTTGTGTCTTCCAGAGGCATCATCCCTCTACTCCAGAAGATGACTGTCTTGTTATCTCACACTTAAAAATCATCAACTGACCATTTTCCAGTTGCATCCTTGAGCTAGTCAGCTCCCAGTGCTCCACAGTAAACAGCACCTCACATCAGCAGCATAAAAACAAACCATTTTCAGTTTTATCAGTTGTTTACAGTTCAGATGGAATCTGCAAGATGCATTATAAAAGCTTATGGTAGAAACATTATAATTTGACATTTAAATACCTGGACTGAAATATGGGGATCATCACCAGGTAGCAGCATTTCAGTACCTTCCTTCCTCCATTCAATAGATGCCATGGGATAGGCAAAGACTTCACAGCCAAATATAGCATCATTCCCAGTAACATTCCAGTTGTCATAGGGTGGCGTAAGGATCTGTGGTGCTGCAGAAAAGTCACAGTATATATTTAGGATTTGGCATTTCTGGTACAGTGGTAGTAAATAGCATTTACTGAGCTGCTCTTCTCTGTAATGCTATGTAAGTTTAATTGAATTTTATTTACAGGAGTTGGCAGCTATCTCCTAAAAAACTGGGCAAACCGAGTGCAGGATGTTATTATCAGTGTTAATCCAGTGCCAGATCATCCAAGATTGTCAATCAGGAACTAGTTTGTAATGGTGCTTAAACAACTATATGGGCAACCTTTTGCTGAGATAGGTTTATTGTAGGTCAGAAATTCACATCTGGTTGGTGTAACCAGTACTGTATTTCTATAGCCTTGCAGTGGCATAAGTAAATTCATAGCATCCCAAGTCGCCTGAAAGTGAGGGGGAGGGGTCCACTTGGGAGGCTGCTGAGGCAATTTAAACAGACAATCTATGTGAAGATAATACAGATCCAGTACTGTATCATTAGGGGTTGGAGAGGTTGCATTTGACATTGACCCTGGCCCCTTTAAAGAAAGAGCTAACATCAAATGCACAGGAGGAGTTTTTGGGATTATTGCTAGTCACAGTTCTAGCTTGTTTTCTTTGGTGCAGCAACAGCATTTGTTTAGTTCATATACAGGCTTCTGGATGGCATAGCAGTATACCCCAGTCCTCTCTATTTGGGAACATATTTATTACCTTCAGAATTCTTGGGGCAAGAAAAATCTTCCAAGGCTGTTTATAAATGCCGCTGTGTCTCCTCAGCTAAAAACTGACAAGATAGCTGAGATTTTTAGATCTGCAAAAAATTCACAGTTTCAGCACTTGCATGCCCATGGCCCCAAGAACTTATAAACCTAAAAATATCAGTTGATGCTGAAAAAATGATAAATGAATGAGTAGTTAGCAGGAAAAGTTAATTTTTTGCATTGCTGACCTATTCCCAAAAAACGTATATACACAGCACTGGTCTATTGTAGTGTAATGTCTATAGCAACAGCTTTCCTGCTACCTGTTTGTTATATAAGCTTATTAAGTTGATTTCAGTGGCACATGTTGTCGTAGTTGGCAGGCACTGCCAGCTTCCACAGATAGAAGTCCTGGGGGCCCATTACATTTTTACTATGGAGCCCAATCATCTGTACTAGCCATAAGCTGCTAAGAATTTTATTACAGTTTCTAAAGTTATAGGGAAACACTACTGGCTTGAGATAGATAGATAGATAGATAGATAGATAGATAGATAGATAGATAGATAGATAGATAGATAGATAGATAGACACCTTTTAATTAAAGTATGTATATATATATATATATGTATATATATATATAGCACCCCATCATTTCAGTTTACAGTATTCTACAATTCAAGATGAACTATGGTTGCTATGAGTTACTACCAAGCCAATTCCCCTTCCCATCCTACAATCAGTTGGCTGGGGTTGTCTGCTCAGTCATTACAACATTCCAAAATTGGTTGGACTGAGCAATGATCATTTGCAGGCTGTATTATATCTGTTCCTCCTAAACCATTTATATTTTGGAGTCCAGTTCACATGTGCATAGCTGATTCCCGACTCCGGCTTACTTCTGGCCTCACTCACGTTAGTGAAATGGAAAAGCCAGCCCAGAGAAAGTGCTAGGAATTTACAATTCTACATCTGCAAGCGATTAGAATGATGGGTATATGTACTTTTTTTTTCTATTTTTATATTTTGCAGACACCAAGTATTTCATCCTGGAAGCAGAAATCCCAGTTTCCCCACTTATATGAAATGTGTGGCCTAGATTTGCGGTATATTTTAGGCAGATTAAAAAAAAATATCAAATACTTTCAGGCCTTTTGATTGACAAGCAGCTACTGTTTTGAATTCCAAGTTCTATATAATTCCTGCTGGAGAACTGAACAAAGTGGAGTTTTGTGAGGTGTGATCTGTTACTAATTATGTGTTAGCGTGAACACTGATAGGTGAAAAAACAATATATATACCGTCATAAATTAATCACAATGTTTTCTTTTGGTCGGTGTTAGTAAAATGGTTCGTAAAAGCGTGTTTTACTCCTGAGGATAATCTACATGAAGACTGCTGCTCTTTTTAAAGGGACCCTAAATCTGACTTGCATGAAAGAAATTCTTTACCTAAAAGCTTATAAATCTCAGACATTGCCTTTGCTTACTTATGTCTCGTGCAAGGGAATGTGGAGACTGGAATAAATGTTATATTACCTCTCTGTGCAGTTTATGGAGCTTTGCTATTTATGCCACTGTGATAGCGATGTCATTCCTCACTCTCCATACATCCAGTGCTGGGACAAGGCCCATTAGCGCCCATGGAGAATTTTTGGTTCAACAAAACTAGAGAGAACTTTCTAGGTTTATTGGCCTAGAAAACCTATTATGAGAAAGGCATGCAGGCTGTCTTTGTTGACTGCCAACTGGCTGTCACATTAATGATTAATCCCATAGTTTCGATGCTTTTTGAGCCGCTGATGCTTCCCAAGTATGCAGAACAAGAATCTGAATTCCAATGCTGAGCATTTGTTCCAAGCCAACAATTCACAAAGTATGAAAATGAGGATCAAAATGAAAGCAAGGCATCTAGCATTTTCAGAAGGAGGCAAGCAGAGGTAGCCTATGTATTTTTCCCAGAAGTACACATAATGCAATAGTTTTATATTAAAAATGCTACTAAATTTGTAACGATAGTTAGATTGTTATATTTCAGCATATTTTATTCCTTGGTTACGTTATTCTGATTTTGGTCTCAGTAAATAGCTTTTCAGTAAATAAGCTGTTCAAATATTTGATTATTGTGGTGCCATTATAATGTTTATTTACTGTATGAGCTTCATCAGACAGGTGCTGCTGTCAATCAACCACTTCAAGAGGCATGTATGCCTGTCACATAACAGACTAACAAGGTGACTTGACAGGCATTTCATGCATCAGCATAGCATTGCAGTCCCATACCACATGATTAGAAGCCACAGAATTAGGATTTACAATTAATTTATACAATTATAATTAATATGAATAAGCTGCCCTAATGCAACACACTTTAACGCGCATGCCATGCATTTAACAGACCAGGTTGGCATCAATGGGTCCTTAAGGCGTGCAAAACTAAAGTATAAGGCAACTAATTCAACCATTTCTTTTAAAGCTGTATAAGTATGACTTATTAAGAAAGGTGTGAACCTGCTTCATTAAATTTTATTGCTTGGCTTTTTAGTTAGATGTCTTCTCTCTCTGCTTAGGTTCAGGTTCAGTATTTCTAAACAAATTGAGAAGCTGGTACTTGCATTTGAGCAAGCAATTGTATTTCCATAGTAAACAAATCAGTGTTTACTTTACCTGATTCACATGGCCCGTCATGTGCAACAGTCAGATTTTTTTCTGGCTGAGCATTGGACATCTCCTGGAATTTGCACAGCTGGGGATAGGTTTTGCCATCGGATCCACACACAGCTGTGTTAGATAAGCAGACACACTGAGGTTCCGGCACCTCTCCATGTCTCAGATCTCCCATGTCTAGTTGGCATTCTAAGTTATCTCCACATTTTCCATAGAAGTGGTTGGTGTTATCCAGATCACATATCTGCCCTTCCAAGTTGGCACATTCCAAGCAGCAGTCACAAGTGTCCCTTACCACCCCAGCAAGGCATCCTCTGGGCTGAGGACATTCTTCTGGCTTACAGTCCAAGCAGCTTTCTCCTTCCTCTAACAGTCTCTGCCAACCACGCTGCAGGTAGTCCGGGGAACTAGGTAATCCTGGTATTATTTGGAGGCAGTTCATATAGAACAAAAGGAAAAGTTCTAGGCAGATCCATGTAGCACATTTAAACATCTTCAAAAGTTGTACTGGTCCCTGCACCTAAACTCCATCACTTGCAGGTCCTTCACTTCAATCTCTGCATTTTCTCCTATCAGTAATTCATCCTTCTGGAAGGGCAAATCTGTGAAAAAAAGAGCAGTGTTTCTTTGATTTCCTGTTACAAAGGCAGCCTTTATATAGCTTCCATCTAAAATCAACTGTACAGATGTTCTCTTTACCAGATTATATAAGACAGTCAAACAGTTGTCTAGGAAATTGCTTGGGTCAGACAGTATGCAGAGGCAGCTACTGGGGACCAAATAACCAGAAATATTACATATAAACTATAGCCATAGTTCCAGAAGAAATATAGATAAAGTATACCTTACCAATATATAAATATTAGAAGCAGCCATATCATGGGCAGGGCATACATGGAGGCTGCTTGCTGAAAAGTGGCAAAACATATACATTTAATGCCTATTTTAACTATTATTTAATTTTTTAAAATTATTATTTATACTTGGAGCAAGTATATCACACATATAAGCTAATTTGGGCCAGACAAGTAGAATCATTTGTTCTCTATGCTCATCCTAGTTTTATATATTTGTTAGTTAGTAGGAGTCTAGCAGAGTCTGTGCCCACTCCCCAATATTTACAGCTATGGCAAGCTGGTGAGGAGGAGGACATACATATATCTTCTAACATTTAGAATTTTAACTGATCAGAATGTACAGTGTGTTCCAAGTCAATAACGTAGAAAGTTGAGAAAGTAGATGCACCCAGAGGCAACTTGCAACAAAGCAAGTAACAGTAATTTAATGGTATACCTATACTACCCTGCTTGACCAACCTCTATTGAAAAAGGAGCAGAGTGAGTCAGCCAAACAGTGTCTTCACAAATCAGCGGAAGTCATTGTTTGGTTGTTCTGACAGCTCTGAGTGCCAGCAGGGAAAATTCATCCATCAACCCTGTTTAGCATGGATGGGGGAATCTAGTGATTTATCTTGTTCATCCCGTTTTACTGGCTGCCTGAACACTGTGGTTTCCCCAGGATTGCGCAGTGGTTCTTCTTTCCAGGAATTGGTATTTCGACAATACTGCAGTCTCCTCCATAGAATATAATGGAGCGTCCTTCATCCTATAGGCCTAAACAGAAACAGGCACTCTCTTATAATGTATGACAAACCTATCGCCCTATTTGGCTAGGTCAGTATAGTTATATACCAACAATGTTGGTTATTCTATTTTATATCAAATATAGGAAGATATAGCTACAGACCACCTATTATGTTTATATTATATCTAAAATTCTAAATGTCTATAAAAGTATTTTATCACCACCAGTGTAAACACGCACATTTATTTAGACATCTGTTTATAGCTTCTATATAAAATATGTTAGACTATTGGTGTTTTGTGTGAATGTGTGCCTAAAATCTAAGCAATACAGCCAGGAAGTGAAAGAAACCCCCCTTCTCCTGCATCCCAGCCATGTGATCATATCATATATCACTTGACCAAGATGCAGGGGAAGAGATGAGGATTCTCCTTTACTTCCCAGCAGCTCCCTGATCTGAAGAGAGTTCTGCCATTTTCTTCCTATTACAAACGTGCACACTTGAAGCTTTTCAGGCTTGGGCCCTGGCTACAGTGCTACGATCTTCTGGTGGGCCATCTAGGCCAGTTGGACCCTTTTGCCTTTATTGTTATTGCAGCCTTGATTGCATATAAAGGTGTTCACAGGGATGCCTAGCATAGCCCAGTAGTTCTTATTGACTTAGTTTTCATTCTGAGTGTCAAGTCAGAATTCCTGTGTTGCTTGCACTGACAACTGTGTTCTATTAACGATTGAAGGAATCCAAGTATAGGAATACAGTTACCATGTGACATTTGTCTCTTTCAATTATGTATTCCCTATGGCAGTAGAGGTGACACTATAGTCAATTCTCATTCTCTGGCTACTCTGTACTGTATATGTGAGGTGATTCATGGAATCAAGGTGTTCCCAGATAAGATTTTAGCTAGATTGGGAGAAATCTCTTGTCTATGGTCAGCTTCAGAGGGTCTCAGCCAAAGCAATTGGACAGGTTAGAATGTCTAGTCTGATCACTGTTGTTTTCCCTTTGCTCAAATGGCACCAGGACTGTCAATAGTATATCAGCTGTGCCTCTCATCTTCCTCCTGCATACAAAAATGTTCCTTCTTTAGCTAAAGCTTGGTTTAAGACACAAGCAGCTGCTCAGATCATGTTTGCACATCTGACAAATATCTAATGTCTGTGGTTCACTGACAGATAGAAACAGACATTAGATGATGCCCTAATTGAGCATGTTTATTGAAAAATTGTTCTACAAGCATGAAGTTCATATTGGATGAAATTGCATGCTCGTGCCAACAGAAAAGGGAGGGAGAACATTTTGAGTTCCAGCTGCCTTGAGGGGAAAACAACAGTAATCAGCTGGAAATATCCATCCTGGAAGGTCAGCTTGGCCCCAGACATACTCAGTCAGTGAATATTAGCCAGTGTCGTGGAAGAGCCTTCCAACATACAAAAGTTCATCAACCTGATCATAAACAGGTGAATCAGGTAAACATTTTCTGTGCGCACTTAAAAGCAACGCTGTGAGTGGCTTATTCAGTACAATCGGTTGACTTAAATCCCCTCTGTCCCTAAAAAATAATTACCTTTCTTTGCTCCCCACGGTGACTCAGTTAAGTCAATCAGTTCTGTCACAGGATAGTCCCTAGTCCTATGTAAATTATGATTCTAGCAACTTATAGCTTGTTACTCACACTTTAAATCTAACTATACACAGGGATATGTGCACATATCGGGACCTCATACAAACGATCCGCCGGCTTTATAGCCGGCGGATCGCTTGTATGTTAACAGGCATCGCTGCCTGTTTTTAAATATCGGGCATTTCCCGCTCAGATCTAGAGAGCTCCTGGCCGGCCGTTTTTTACAACGGCCGGCCGGGAAGTGGTTAAGAACAACATTTGCTAAAACAAACAAAAAACTGCAAAGGTCCATATTCACATACCTAATACAGAATGTCATGACATTCTATTTACATAGGCTGACCACATTTCCTTGAGCCAAAAACGGGACATTGGGATGGCAAAAACGGAACGGTTTTAATATTCCATATTCGTGAAAAAGTAAGATGATAAGAAAAGTTTAATGACAATATAGTAGATGTGTAAAGCATAAAGTTTCAGACAAAATTAATTATTATGCTGTTTCGGATTCAGAGGCAACAAGCCTCCAATCTGAAACAGCACCATGAAAAAAAAATATGTGCGTCGGCCATATTGATCGCCGACATGTCCATACGCACGCAAGTGCGCCGCCATCTTGGTGCACCATAGAGGGTGGTCTGTCTTCTTACCTGATATCAGATGCACCAAGATGGCGTCACCCATACAACGGATTACTATATACCTGAATATATAGTCATTTGTATATTTGGGTATATAGTTATTCGGATTCGTGTGAACTGCCGAATTGACAGAAATTAATTGGTTTGGCAGTTCATCCAAATCCAAATGCACATCTCAACAATCAACAATTATTCTTCAGTGACAGAACTCATCCAATGCAATGCATTCTTTCTGCACCCCCCCCCCCCTTCCTATACTGCCTCATATCCTTCCATTGTGTCAATCTGAGGAGCAGAGAACTATGCCATTAACACTCTGAAGCACAGCCCTGCTGAGATAAAAGCTCTGGTGTTGATCATATAAAATGGCTGCCTAAAGTCCCCACCAGCACTTATTCTGAGGAAGCAGAGTACGCCTATACGTAACTTCCTCCCAGTTAGTGCTGCCGTGAAGGAAGAATGAGCGCTGACGTAGACTTCTTAGAGGAGCGCTCTATGTGCCTCCTTAATGAGGCCGACTGGCTGCACAAATGTAAAAAGTAAGGTCGGTCGCAGTTGCTGCCGTCTTAACATTTATTTCACCGCGGCTGGCCGGTCTCATTAACAGAATGAGAGCGCACTACTAAGAAGGAAAGAAACGATGGAAGGGGGGAAAATTAAGAAATAACGGTACTTTCCCGTTTAAAACAGGACATAAGGTCAGCCTATATTTACTGCTAAAAAGCGTATTCACAGTCATTGAGATCAAAGGGCAATTACTTCAGCCTGTAACTTCTCTTTCAGAAACAAATCTTCATATATTTGGTATTGCTGTCTATGTGGAATGCAGGATGGCAGGTTTATATAGACAGACAGAAGGGATTGTTCTACTGGGCTATTCTTCAATATATTTTGTAGCTTTGCTGGTTCAATAGTAAACTTGATTTGTGTCTGGGTTTTATGAGCTCAACCTCATTCTTGTAATTCCTTTACAATGGCGAGTACCAAACAATTCAGAATATTAGGAATAAAGGCCACAGAGATCCATGCTGCCACACATAGATAAAGACAAGTCATAGCCAGAGCACTTTACAAGAAGTGAAACATCTTGCATTGAGAAAATGGAAGACACAGGCTTTTAAAAACAGAGGAAAAATTAAACATAATAATAATGATATTTATTCTTACCAGTTGACCATTTGGGCTCCAGGAATTTGGTGAGTTTTGCTGTTGTTAGCACCTAGTTCCCTTAGTGTATTTTATTATTCAGTAACAACATAGTAGATATTTTACCCCTGCAATCAACAGATTAGTCTTTCTGTAAAGATTTAGCAAAAGTCTGTGTTAGAAATCAAGTTTAAAATATGATGCCAATTCAAAACTCATCTTTCCCTGCTTGGTAAGTGTAATGCAAACTCACAAATAGCTTCTTATATGAACGAAAGAGAGTCTATCAACAAACTCCCACAGACTCAAGCCTCAAAATCTTCACACTAGAAATAGAAGTCTCTACTATGGTTTCTGGCTCTGCTTTCCCCACAAACTTTATTTATATTAAACCTGCTAAAGGCAAGTCTCAAGACTTAGGGCCCATTAACACCTATGTGCTGTGGTAATGTGGGCCAACCCACCTGTCCTACTACAGTGACATCTATTGTGAATGGCACCCCAATGCGCTGCACAGTAAAAGTCAATGTACCGCAGAAGACCGCAAAACACATACAGTGGATGGACTTTATCAATACTGGAGCAGACAGAATCTGGCGCGT